CCATTTTGGCGGATTTTCTCTGGGAACCTCTCTCGGCCAAGTGCATGGATGAACTACATTCGAGCTTGACCGAACTGGGACCGATTGATGAGTAACAAAATCAAAGCACAAAAAGCTGCACCAACAACTAACTGTTTCAGGCACAGCAGCTAACAAGAATATGCTACCGTACTCGGCAAGGCACGCTACAACAATCAATCATAAGGAGACGAATAAACTGGCTAATTGTAACGATAAATAATGCATTTCAAACCAACAAAGGAACATCTCTACTAGCTAGCTACGGTGCAGATCCACTCGTCAAAGTATATGTAGCGAACATGCATTCACCAAGTCTATAACATGTCTACGCGATCGAATAACACAGGGCATGTACATTGTCAGCCCGGAAATGAAACCTCTGCTGAATCCAAAGGAGAATCGAATCTTTCGGAAAAGGAACGACAAAAATCCACAAACAACAACCCGTTCTAACTGCCAACCAATCCACACGGCTCTAGGATCTGACTGGTTAGGCACTTCTCTTACGTGCCCCCGCAAGTACAATCCAGATAGATTACGTAGTACACCTCCAGGTTGGCGAGATGATGGAACGGGAACAGATCGGATGTCTCAAGCTAGTCGCTTCGATCCACCAGCCAGGACGAAGTATTCAGGGTCTTGAAACAGTTCTTCCTGGCCAGTAAATGTCAAGACGCAAGAGTACACGGAGGCGCAAGACTAGACCATACCCCATGAGCTAAACCCGACTAGAGCTTGCTTTACCGTAGCCTCACCCGGCATGGGAGTAGGCTACGATACGGAAGCAAGGTCTTCATGGCGTCAGGGACCAGGGTAGGTTGTTACATTGTCTGCGGCAAAGCAAGGCAACGGAGTTTTACGACACAACACCTGCACGGAACACGCCACATCAACCTGGCCAGACATCAGAACTACAGTACCTAGATCTATCGTACGGCAACAACTACCTTATCAACTCACATCCCCTTCAGCGTTATCTTTAGAAGCCACCATTCTGCATTCATTCCCCACGCTGCATGGCTACCGGTACTGCGACTACTTGGCTACCGGTAGCTCTACATGTACGACTGTACCGCGGGACTAGCTGGGAGGCAATTGGCATCCCAAGCAAAACTCTCTCCCTAGGAGGGTCGAACTCCTGGCCTTGCGATTAACAGTCGCACGCTCTACCAACTGAGCTAAGGAAGACACGATTTAGGCGTGCTGTTGCGATATGTCGAAAGTGTGGTTGTACATAAAGCAACACATACCGTAACAAAAGCCAGCGAGCTCAAAGCTCCCAATCTCCAAGACCGAGCGAGCTGACTTCTTCTTCCATACCGCTACAGCACAACAAACTCAACAACAGCATAGCTTATGGTACCATGGCTGACAGTGCAAAGAGAACCAGTAGAAGACAGGCAGGTAGATCTATCTCCCAAGAGGCTCAGCTGACACTCAGGCAGCTATCGTCCACCCACGGAAGAGATAAGAGGAGAGACTGTTCAGAAAGGAATATGTTTCCCAAGGACAAAAGCCACATCAAAGTGACAAAGGTGGAGGGAATTGACTTTCGCTCACCCAATTCTCCTGTTGCCAGGAAGCTTCATGTAACTCCTCCAGGGTCGAGTTTGGAGAAGACCAAAATGAAATTGGGAAAGAATCCCTTCTTGTCTAATTCTTATTCTCCCACAAGGAAAGCCAACAGTAGGCCCATTGTGAGAGATAATAGAAACCAATGCTGTATCATGGCACAGGCAACGTTGTCAGAACTTGTGGACAAAGCAGAAGTAAAAAAAGGTGGACCAGCTAAACCCACAGCCAGGAAGCTTCATGTAACTCCTCCAGGGTCGAGTGTGGAGAAGACCAAAATGAAAGTGAGAAAGAATCCCTTCTTGTCTTATTCTTATTCTTGCACAAAGAAAGCCCACGGTAGGCCCATTGTGAGAGATAATAGAAACCAACGCTGTATCGTGGAACAGGAAACATCGTCAGAACTTGTGGAGCAAGCAGAATTTAAAAAGGTGGACCAGCTAAAAGTGGCACATACCCAGCTCATCACAACCCAACACCCTGCATGCTATTGCCACAAGTCCAGATGAGGAACCTTTTGGGAAAGAGATGTAGGGATGATGCCCTGCCAGTAGGCTGCTCCCCGGAAGAGGAAGAAGAGGACCCTGATCCAATCATAGAATTGCAACAGAAAGAAAGTGAAAGGGCCTACAACAAATCAGAATTTACTGACATCATGGGCAAGCCCAGTTGCTGCAAAAACACCAACATATGTTGGTTGGCCAAGTGCCACAAGGAACGCCGTCATGTGATACTTGACCAAGATTACAGTTTTCCTGACTTGATGAATCTACGAGCTCAATTCAGAGTTTTGACTTTTGGGCAGGAGAGTGCCTGTGCCCAAGCATGGAACGTAAAGGAGGATTTTTGCTGTGATCCCTTCCAGAAATCCCAATCCAGATTGCTTTGTTGGAAAGGGCTTTCAAAATTATATAAACCTTCCAAAAAGTTTTGCAATATCATCCAATATAATCAACAGTTGAAGTGGTCGAAATCACCAAAATCAAAGGACAATACTCAGAAATTCAAGGACTGGTTCTTGGATGGGGGACAGAAACAACTTGATGATCAGGCCAAAAACGGCAAACAACCCCAAAAGATAACAGATGAATAAAAGACAATCTATTTGGGTCGAAGCTTCAGACAAGTCCACAAAGCATTCAGGCAAGAATGCAATATTACCTTGAATAGGGAAAGATGCGGAACTATTGTTGAGTGCTCCTTTCCTCAAGTCTTATGTGGCCCACGGCACGGGCTAAGCCACGAACCCTAGTAGAGTACAGGAATGCCTTGGAGATCAGGGAGAAGATTTTTGGGATGCTTACGAAGATATGGCTGAATCTTACAACAACATTGGCTTGGTTTTAGCTGACAATGGATATTTTGGTGCGTGAGGCCCTGATGATCATTGAATCTGTGCTAGGAAATATGCTTCCGACAGCTGCGAAAGTGTACACCAACAGTCTGGTGGTCTGGAGCTATCAAACGAAACTCCGACGCAGTCGAGTTTTGAAAGGCACTCGCCATCAAGGAGTCCCTTCTGGGGGAAGATCACCCTTCGACGGCGGTCTCATACATCAGCATTGGCAAATGCGTTGTTGCAGAAAGGCACAGCGACAGTTCCAAAAGGGCATTGCAATTCAAGAGTCTTTGCTTGGAAGTAGCAGCCCCAACATTGACTTGTCCTATGTGTCTTATGGCATTGTTTTGACGAGGAGAGGCGACGTCGATGCAGCTTGGCATGCTCTGCAAAAAGCCCTTGCAATGAACGAAGCACAATCGGGGCTGCAGCATCCAGCAACAAGTACAACACAACACTTGGCTACATCGGCGATGTCCTTGTCAAGAAAGGAGATTATGAACGAGCAGCGACACATTATCAATGGACTCTATCAATCCACGAATCCTGCTTCGGCAAGACACATCCAAGCACTCTAGCATTGCAAAGAAAAGTGTTGGCAGTGAAAAAATGCGCATACGCAAAGCTCGGGGTTCTTGCAAACCTGTAGGAGGCTATTTGAGGGATTGTTTACGACACCCGCCAAAACGTGACCTCCGAATCCATTCGCTGCGCATCCAAAATCGGCAAGCACGTCGACACCGAATCAGCATCCAGAAATTGCTAGTTAGTCGGAACGATCGTTTTTTGATTGACCCAACCGCGAACACATTTAGGTTGGCACCCGTTCAATTCTCGCTGCATGCTTTCATCCCTGGAGTTTGCGATTGAATTGAGAAATTCGTTTGAAAGAATGTCTGTGGTAGCAGCCACGAAGTTCGGGAGATGCACAAGTGGCTGGATTGCATTCATGTGGTCACTCGCTCTGCTCCGAAGCATCGTACGTCTTACGCGTACGGCTCGATCTCGGACAAACCATTCGGGGTGATCCGCGTGGGCAAGGTCTCGCGAAGATAGCATTTCATCACATGAGAGCCTGATTGCCGAATTCATGAGATTGTAGCCCCAACGGATGATCTAGATACGCCCAGTTCTCAGTAATGCTGGAGTGGAGACGAACGTGGCCCTGGCACTCGGGGGGATAGATGATCGAGACAGCCGGTTAGACTATGACGGAAGCAATGGATCGATCCTAGAAGACTCTAAAAGATGCCTCTTCTAGTAGAGCTACTAGCTAGCTAGGATAACTTCTTCCATATTGGATACCAACAGCTATATCAACTTGCTTTGTCTGCACAACTCTCCCACTAAACGGCATCGGCAGTCAGCAAACATAGCGGTAGCTCGTAGTGTGTACATCAACGCAAATACAGCATGGCTGGCTTCTACGAGGTGAAAATGACGTGCCTCTTCGGGGAAGCAGTCTTGGTTCCCATCGAAAGCGAAGCAATAACAACCAAGCCGCCAAAAGTCGCCAAAAGCAAAACCAGCCAGCAAGCACCTTTGCCACCACCACCTGGCACCATAGGACGCTTGTGCTATTAAGGAACTCGCTAGTGCCTACTAGCTAGGGCATTGATACGGTACCATTTATCCACACAAACGCCCATGCACACAGTAGCTAGCTCCATCAAGAGAGAAGAAACAAGAACGCCGTCAATCCATTGTTCCTGATTATGGCCTCAGTCTCCGACACGGAAGTTTCAGATAACAACAGCAAATCGACCACAAGAAAAGGCCGAAAAACGGCACACTTCCAGGGAGACGACAACCTACAACAGAAGCCCCACAGTTTTCACGAATCCTCCATTAACAAGCTCAACGAGACGACAACAATGGCTCCCAGCAGCAATTCCCAACCGAACATGTCTGGTGGTATTGACGATGCTGATGCCGCCGCGGGGCAACGGCTGTCGTATACCGCCCCTCAATCTACCTACAGCATGGCACCCCCCATTTCTATGGGAGGCATGTCCACCCATCCTTCCGATCTAGAATTCTTTGACGATCTGGTTTCCGAGCCAGTGCTCGTTCTGGGGGTAGATATCAGCCACATGGACCGGCATATTCAGTTTATTGTCTGTGCCACAGGGGTCTTTGGATTCAGTCTCCTCTATGGCTACCTGCAAGAATTGATTTCGGTTCAAATCTGCAATCGACAATTGGGCCTGTTTTTGGCCATGATGCAGTTTATTGGGTACACGGTGCTCAGCTTTTTTCTAAAAGCCTACGTGTACGAAACGCATCAAAAGAAACACATGAAACAAAATGAAGCCAGTGGCAAAATTATGGATTATGGTGGCTCAGGGTCCGCGCTGGTCGTCCCCTTTGCCATGTACCTCGGCCTCAGTTTGTTGCGAGCAGTAGACCTGGCCATGACCAATCTGGCCATGCAATACATCAACTACCCCGCCAAGACGTTGATGAAGTCGTCCCGTGTGGTCTTTACCATGATCTTTGGTGTATTCATTACCCGCAAAAAGTATCAATTTATGGACTATTTTGTGGTCTTGTGCATGGTCGCTGGACTGGCCATTTTCATGCATGCCGATGCCACATCCAGTGCTATATTTCAACCAGTGGGTGTGGTCATGCTGACAGTCAGTTTACTGTGTGATGGGGCAATCAGCAACATGAGTGAATCCATCATGAAGAATTATGGTGTTGGCCAAGATGAATTCATCTTCAAAATGTATTCGATTGCTTTGGTGGCCATTTCGGCAGCGGCGGCTGCCAAGGGAGACTTGCAACTGGGGATGGTCTGGCTCATGCAGCCAGGCACATATGATGAAATGCAGCAGGGTGTCACCGCAGAGGAGGCAACCTGGAGTGTCACTGGGAAGATTACAGTGATTGTCTTTTTCAGCAGTATGGGTTTCTTTGGCAGTTCCTGTAGTGCAGCCATTACCAAGAATTTTGGGGCATTGACCATGAGCATTACTTCCACAGCCAGGAAAGCGACTACATTGTTCCTGTCCTTCTTCATTTTCAACAATGTTTGTACCATGGAGCACATTGTTGGAGTGATCATTTTCATTTCAGCTCTTACAGCCAAGAGCTTAAGAAGAAGGAAAGATGCCAACAGCAGGGCTGCTGCCCTGAGGCAAGCCCCACGAAGTGGAATGTCGGCAGAAGTTGATTTGGAAATGCAGCTGATGTTGCACCAAGACAAACTGAAGAGAAACGCCAGACCCAAAAGCAAGTCTCCCGCTCGTGGATATGGAACTCCCGGGCGACGGCCAAATGCATCCAGGGGGTTGGTTCTCGGAGAAAAGTCGACTGCTTTGGTTATATAAGATAAATGAGGACACGCGGTCCTTGATGTAATGGATGATGGCTTCATACCGTATAGATACGAAATTGTACTAATCTTCATTGTTTGGCATACTGTAGTCGACTCTACTAGCTAGCTAGATTGATGCTCTTTGGCACCACAAGGTTGCCTGCTACTCGGAATTCTGTGTTGGCTGAAATGCCTGCCACTCGAGCAACGAGTGCCTCTTGTTCAGTATGGCCAGCTAGCAATCACGATGGCCATGAAGCAAAGCCGCAGAAGAACAAAACCCGAGATTTTGCAGCTGACTTGAAACAATTTTACAAACAAGCTACGATGCTTAAACTTTTTGCCATCCTTCGCGTACCGAATTCTTCGTACTTGGCTCATAGGCGCACAAATAAATATTGAACCGAGTGACAGTCGAGTCGCTACCCTCTCGTGCTATGTTGGGATTCTCAAACAACTAGAAGAGGTTTCTCCTGAGATCCGGTTTCCTCTTCTTCCAATTCCTCTGTCTGTGCGCGGCAGGAAACTACAATTTTGCACCAGAGCAGGGCCAATCCCAACGTGATAATGCTGAAATTGATCTGTGGTTGCATCCCAAGGAACAAATCGGTGATAACCCACGCAAAGGAAACGCCAATAAGAGCCCCAACCACAAACAGCACTTCAAGGCTTTCCAACATGTTCTTGTGAATATTTTCTGTTTGTTGCTGCGTCCTGCCATCCATGGGCAGGGTCTGATAGAAAGCCGTAATGAGGGACCTGAGGAATCCCAGCAGAATAATGGCAATGGCCGAGGTCACAAAACTCCAGAGGAGCGAAAAAAGAACAATCTCCTTGCGACTCGTATGAGCAAACTCATTTCCCCAGACCTCCAAGATGACAACATTGGCTGCCAACGTCGCTTCTTGAACCAAAAATCCAATCAGCAAGCCCACCGAAACGCTACTGATCTTGAAGTTCCTCGAGGCATGAGGCAAAGGTTGGTTGGGAGCAATGCCGTTCTCACCAGTGATCAAAGCATAGCCATCTTGGTCTTCGTTCGGAGTCATCATGCTGATTTGCTTTTGTTCTGAAACGCAGAAAGAAATACGGTGGTGCCTCTGGATGGCAGCCCTCCAGCCAGAACATCTTCAGATGCTGGATGGGAAGCGATCACATACATCAGAGAGGTAATCCCGCTCCAATCCAAGATCTCGTTGGCCGAGTACGACCAAACCAACAGCTACGAGAGGTTTACGAAGTGGGACCGGGCCGGCGGCTGATGGCCGAAAAAAGAGAGACATGCACCTCGTTGTTGCAACAACAGCAAATCGAAGTGGGCTCACACAAAACCATCTTTTTCATCTTCAGAAGATGCATTTTGAACATTAAAGCTGGCAAATTGGAAGCAATTGCAAGCCGTACGCCCGCGACCATACTGACTAACTAGAGCCCAAAAAGACAACATGATCGGCACTGGGATCCTTCCCCGTTGTCTACTTCAAGGCCGACGGTCTATAGTTTCCAGGGCATCGAGACGAAATTTTGCATCAGCAAAAGCACAAGAGCGATTCCAAGGTGTCTATCCAATAGTGGTTACTCCCTTTCACGACGATGAATCCCTTGATTTGGATAGCTTTCGTCGATCCATTGCCTTTTTCAGACGGATGTGTCAAGGCGTGACCATCACCGGGGTCCTCGGCGAGTCCAATCGCATGACAGATGACGAACGCGCCACGCTCATTCAGGTAGCCAAGGAAACCATTGATGCAACAGAAGCAGATGATAATACGAACTTTACCCTGTGCGTGGGAACCTCTCATTCTGGAACGGCTGCCACGGTGGCCCTCAGTCAAATGGCGCAAGAACTGGGGGCGGATGCCGTCATGGTAGCACCCAGTAAGGATTTGACGGCTCCTCCGCCATTGGAACGCGATATTCTAGAACTCTACCACCGTGTCGCATCAGATGCTTGCTCCGATGGTATGGATATCGTCCTGCAAGATCATCCGTCTTCTACCGGTGTACACATGTCGTTAGAATTGATGGCCAACATTGTGGAGGAGGTTCCTTCGGTCCGATGCATCAAATTGGAATCCTTGCCTACTGTCAGCCGTTTGGCAGGGCTACGGGACAATCATCCGGTAGTACTAGAGCAATGCCGTATTCTCACTGGACTGGGTGCCTTGTATGCGGGTTATGACATGGAACAGGGTGTCACGTCGGGGTTCATGACTGGTTTTGCCTTTCCCGAAATCCTCTTGGCAATGTACAGCTATCATGCCCAACAACAAGAAGGCAAGGCACAAGAGCTCTATCGCAAGTTCTTGCCATTGATCGTGTTGGAACAACAACCCGCGGGTGGATTGGCCATTCGCAAGGAAATCTACAGACAACGAGGTTTGATTTCATCCTCTCATGTTCGACATCCGGGCAAGAATATATCGGATGTAATGCAAACCACACTGCAAGAAGAATTGAAGCGGTCCTTTGGAGAGTTAGACATTACACAACCACTGCTACTGGAGGATATCTGGAACCTGTAGGATGCTTTGCAATGGTACCGGTGCAGATCGCCGAACCAAGATTATAAATCCGCCTTTGACCCGGACAATGGGGATGCCACTCCGCACAGCGCGGATTTAACAAATCAGGACAAAACCTTGGTCGTAGCAAGTCATGGCGCATTTAGCACTGCTCGTTCATACCGGTAGAATGGGAGTTGGTTGCTGATGCATTCGCTGCCATCCATCTTTCGAATTGAAGCTCTTCTTGCTTGTCCTGTCCTGGAGGTACTGTACTGTACGTCTGACAGTTTAGCTGGCTGTTTGTATAGGGAGTAGACACACCGCGACTGTCGTTGGCCAGTCCCAACTGTGACTAACCGGGACCGGAAGCTGAGGTGGCAGATGGGAGAGCAACAACTGTCGTTTTCTCAGAACCACAAACAGCTGGCACCATGGCCGATGACATGGAGTCGACGTCAGCAACTGAGGTCGACGTCGCCCTTGAAGATATCAAGGTGTGTTTCTTTCCTTGTCCAAGAGATGATGCAGACAACACTTGGTAGCGGAGTGTCCAAGGACACGACGAATCTATCTCTTTTGCACTATTTTGCCAACTTCCTCCAGAAGAAGTAGGAGCAGTGAGAAATTGCATTTTCTCCATCTTGATGGACGCATATTCCTGGTGGAGAGTGAGTGAATAGTTGATGGATGTCCCAGCCAATTCTGAATTTGCAAGACTACGATTTGTGAACCACCAATATCAACTTCCTGTACCAACTCACAAGAGAAGAAGAATATTTATTTCATAGAGCCAGATTCGCTCCATTCGAGAATCAAGACCATGACGTCCCATCGACTTGTTGCTGTTGTGCTATTGTCAGCCGTGGTGCACGGAGGAGCCTTTCTCTCCTCTTCTGACCACACAAAGAAGAGCATAGTAGGTCAACGGCAACCGCCAACTGTGGAATTTGCGCTGCGCTACCCATATCAGTACGACGATGAAGTAGCAGAGACAGAGGAAGAACCTCTCCTCTACGATGTATCCATTGGGGTACCAGACGGGTTGACTGGCGGTGATTGCTGTAGTGAAGAAGAAGAATGCGTCAATGTTGACGCACTACGAGCTCGAGCAGGTGTGTTACGACGAACCATTCTCCAACAACAACAAGAACTGCAGCAAGTGGAACGCAAAATCATTTGCTGTTCCCGTTCTTCGACCGACTCTGCCTCATCACTCAATGATGCGGTCAGCCCCGCCGCATTGGTGCGATACGCCGTCAACCAAACCTACTCGACCTTCCAAGCCAGTTCCAGTGTCTTGTGGCGCAAACTGCAGCGCGTACAAGGCAGTGTGGGAGTGCACAATCACAAATGGAAGGGATCCGTAGGAGACTTTTGTCTCGCCCAGACTCATAGCGGTGTCCGCATTGTCGACAAGATTTTGCACAATCAAACGCAACTGTTGCAACTCGTAAAGGACCCCTCCACGCCGACATTGGTACCGCATGTCCCGGCTATTTTGGCTCGATTGGACAAACTCGAAGGTCACATGGCACCCATTTTGGAACGAGTCCTCAACAATCAACGGCATTTAGCATCCATTGAACCCTATTTGCCCGAAATTCTAGAACGATTCGATGACATTGAACCGCATCTGCCGTGGATATTGGATCACATTGACATTCTAGCTCCTTACACGGGTCTGTTGCTCCAACACATTGATGAACTGTTACCCTACGCCGCGTTGGATGAATACGAAAATCTCCACGGACGATCCTCCAATTATTACCAATACGCACTGGCGGAACAATTGTTGCCCTATCTGGAATTCTACGTGTCGCGTCTGGATACCGTCGGTCCGCACTTGCCCTTGTTGAGACCGCATGTGCCCAAACTACTCAAACACAATCGGATTGCCAAAATGTCGCCGCACATTGATCGACTCTTTGCGCTGGGATACAAGGACAATTTGGGGGCCAGTGCCAACATGGATGTCTTGCTCTTTTGGTTTGGATGGGCCTTACGAGTGCCGGGATTACCACGGCTCTTTTTTGCCATTCCAGGATCGCCACGGATTGTCACATTCTTGGCCAATCGACTTCCCAAACGATTCGTACGGGGATATTGTTCCGGTATTTCTTGTACGGTCGATGGCGATTACGGAGTGCAGTGGAATAAACTGTCCAAGGAAGGCGCGCGGTAGCTAGAATACGACGAGCTAAGCAAACGAATGAATGAATGGAAACGATAGAGGCACTACTTGGAACGAACAAGTATTTGTGAGATTGATTGATAGAAAAGATTAAGTAAATTAGTAAATAGTTGTTTGTGTTGCAATGGAAGGATTCATGTTGTGTGTCCGGTACTGTTTGGTCTAGCTAGCAGTCAGTTTAAGTTATGCCGCTGAGAAACTTGCAAGTGCCATCCGGCTGGTGTACAGGCTGCTTTTTCATCTTGTTTGTACTTGGGAACTTGACTTCTGGGACAGAAGCTTGTTCAAATCAACCCGCAACACCAACAGCATTCAGGAACCTGCCAGAACCAGCAATTCGTCCATGGATCATCATCACAGCAACCACGCTGTCAATAGTCATCCCAGTATACGGCATTTGCAGATTGAACCTGGGGTGAGATACTTGCAATAAATTTGTTTGCCCAGCGGAACGAGGCGTCGGGTCAGAACCCAAGTAGGTTGACCAGCTAGCTAGCTCGATGGCGGAACTGTGAAGTTGATGGCTGGGAAGAAAGTCCTGCCGTTTGGCTCCTGCTGAGTATCAATCATCCAGAACTGCTAGATCCCAAAAACCTACTAGGCTGTACGAATGGATGGTCATTGGTTCCCGGGCTTTAACCAAAGTATCAGAGCTATCTGGTAAAGTGCCGTTAACAAGAGGCAAAGTGCAGAATTGGAGACTACAGACTAGAACAGGCAAGTCAAGCATACAAAGATCTTCTCCCTGGTTTGGGACCCGACGTTTAGCAAAATGGCCAATGAAGAGCCCATTTTCATAGCTATCCTAAATGAGGCTCCGCCCCACCGCATGGTAGCATGACAAAAGCCAAGCAAGAACCAAGCAACCGACCAAGGAGAGAAGTGAGGGTGATCAATGCATCTTCTTGGGACTGTCGTGCTCTGAAACTTGATCGTTCACCAAGATACGTGCTAGGGTAGGATCAGAGTACGCACGGCAGAGTGCCCCCCCCCCAGACTCCTCCAACACCGGTGATGTTGACTCCGAAGAGCAAAGAGCTACTAATGGCATGCTTGGATCTGAGAGATGAGTGACCTAAACAAACGCGCTTGCACTAATCAGACCGAAATCCGAAAGAGCGAGGGCCGCAAGGCATCTGATGATGCAAGGACGACAAACCAGGCAAAATCGCCCTCAAGAGTTGGCGGTCTGGAGTCAGTGTCTGGCGAAGAACACCAACCCCCGTCGATCTGGAAGCGGAAGCTGTGATCCAAAGGACGAAGAGACACCAAAAGAACCGAGCCCGACTTGAGTGTTGATGCGCTGACAAGTCTTGATTGAGCACGACCAGCCCACAAGACAAAGAAGAACTCCGCAACCTGGCTTCGGCAAGTCAAGAAAGAGAAGAAGTGTGAGACCTTAAGCTATCTAAGAGTGAACTTTAGCTCGCCGCCACGACCAGCCAGCCCAGATCCAAGGGTCATGTACCGGAGAACCACCAGCCGACCCGCCACCAATAGCGACTCCAAAGCAAAAGCAGGAACCAACCAAACAAACCACCAGGAACCACCAACAGGGACAAGGTTGTAGAACTCTTGGATCATCATGTCGAAATTGGAACCTCCTAAGAGACTTTCGATCAAATCCAAGGGCCATAGAGCACTAGTCAATGGAGCACTAGGCGACCAACCGACCAAACCACAGGAACCACCATCAGCAGCAGGAACCACCACAGGGACCGCCACAGGAACCACCAGCAATGGAGCACTAGGCAACCAACCAAACCAACCAACCAAACCAACCAACACCAGAACCACCACAGGAACCACCACAGGCACACAAACAGAGCAGGAACCACCACAGGGACCGCCACAGAACCTCCAGAGGGACCACCACAGGGACCACCAACAGGGACAAGGTTGTAGTACTCTTGGATCATCATTTCGAAATAGGAACCTCCTAAGAGACTTTCGATCAATCCAAGGGCCATAGAGCACTAGCCAAGGAGCACTAGGCGACCAACCGACCAAACCACAGGAACAACAACAGCAGCAGGAACCACCACAGGCACCACCACAGGGACCACCACAGGAACCACAGCAATGGAGCACTAGGCAACCATCCAAACCACAGAACCACCACAGGGACCACCACAGGAACCACCAACAGCAGCAGGAACCACCACAGGGACCGCCACAGGAACCTCCAGAGGGACCACCACAGGACCACCAACAGGACAAGGTTGTAGTACTCTTGGATCATCATTTCGAAATAGGAACCTCCTAAGAGACTTTCGATCAAATCCAAGGGCCATAGAGCACTAGCCAATGGAGCACTAGGCGACCAACCGACCAAACCACAGGAACCACCAACAGCAGCAGGAACCACCAACAGCAACAGGGCCAAGATTGCCCACCAACCCAACAGTGAGCAGCACAGGGGTACCATCAAACGACGAACGGAAAAGAAGACTAACGGTCCATGCATCTGTTCACCAAATGAAGAAGAAGAAGGAGGAGGAGGCGTGTTAGATTCCGAACGCAATGAATGAAAGTCATGGTACAGGACGTTGCGCAATCTGTACTGACCTTTTGGCGACGGAGAACAGCGAGGACGGCGGTAACTAGTCGAGTATCATGGTCAAATGCATCGGCGAAAGAGGCAAAATAATGAATTATCATAAGGAATGATCAGCGGTACTCTGCTTTTGGCAACGCGAAATCAACATGGTTTCTTTTTCGAAAGGGGAAACGATATCAAAATGAAATTAAAAATCAAAGTAGACTATGTCAATACTTTGGTTGCCGTAGCCAGCTATCGTCCCATACTAGCTAGCTAGAAAGCAATCGTTCTTGGGTTCGTCGGTCTCTTTTGACATGGTTTGCAACGAAAACGAAACCTCGTTTCCCTTTTTCAAAGTTGTGGCTTGACAACGAAGTGCCACGTCGCCACGTTGGAGGAACAGTGTTGTTAAATAAAAGCTGATGACGTCACTTTCAACTTTGTATTTCGCACGAACGATTTCAATAACTTTCCGCAGTTTTTCTGGTATCCCTTGCCTTTAATTAAAAGAACAAATATGCTGCAGTGTTTAAGGAAAAAGTCGGAAGTCATTTTGCTCCAGCTAGCTTCAAGTAGCAAGCCAGAAGCTACGTCATAGTTTTTGCACGAGCTCTTGTAGTACCAGTACGACTGTACATGTAGCAACTGGCAAAGGTTTCAAGTAATAGTAGTCTATAGTTTTACCGTAGCGATTAGCTAGCTAGAACAGCTGCTAGCTAGCTAGAAGTAATATGAATGCATGAATAGCTGTTGCGTTTACGAAAGATTCCGCAGAAGCAACTGGATGGACTGGCAGGAGTGGCATCATAGAGGAGGCCATCGTACGGTAGCCAAACACGGATTCCATCGCAGATTTTTGGGACGCAATCATCTGAGACGTGAAGAGGCCGTGCTACTTTTCTGGCACTTGATGTTACCCTTGGGGTCTCCTGAAAAGTGCACAATGGATGTGTGGGCACAATGATTCTGGTTCAAGGAAGGGATTGTACAAATGTGGCATGTGGCATGCAGGACCGTCCAACAACCCATTGATTTGCCACCAAAGGCAACAAGACGTCCCTCCGCCACGGGCAAGCGCAGATACACATCGTGACAGTGACATTTTTGTTGTGAAAGTTGTTGAGTTTCCAGGTCTTGCTGAAGTCGTCGTGGATGACAGCACAGAGCCAATTCACAGCTTCGTCAGGCTTCCTTACTGTGAAGACATGACGGAGGAAGGCTTGGGGCACCATACACCAGCCTGGAGAACGTTGAGATAGCAATCTTTCTCACTGGGTGGCTGGCTCAAAGTCAATGGTTGACCCAACAGTCGTTTCAAAGCAAGGATCGGCGTAGAAGTCTTGATTCAGAAGGAGAAGGTGAGGCAATGCTGATCGACGGCAGTAGTCGTAGGCAGTGGCCATGATTCGATTCCAGCCACCAATGCCTGAACCATACGTGGTAGGTACCCTTCTCCGTGAGCCTTCTGCGTCTGTGACAGATGGGTAGGTACTGTAGTAGCCAGTCTGGCTCCTTGCCGAATCCTTGACAAGGTAGGGATTGGCACAACTTTGTGCAAAGAGAACACCTCACAGGCGGCAGGCTCAATTTTCATGAAGACACGCAAATCTAGCAAGGTAGTCAGCATCCCAAGGTCGTCAACCCCTGAAATAGAAAAGCTTCAGAACAACCTCATGGTGTCGTCCATCTACGACCCTAGATAGTGCTATAAAATGGGGCTCGAACAACAAGCGCGGCGAAGGAGTAAGCAAGCCGAAAGAAAGACTGGTCTCCATAAAATTCAACCTTTGCAGTTTTACATTCTCAAAATTTGTTGTATCATGCCTTTGGCCTGACTAAGGTATCCTCCACCAAACAAGACGTAATGATTCATGATGTGATACAAGTTGTAGACGACCTTTCGTTTCTCATGGCCCTGTCGAGCGATGAGGTTGGGCAAAAGGAAAAGAGTGTGGTTAGGCAGAGGCAGCAAGTAAAGAATCGGAACCTTGAGTCCATCACAGCCATCACATTGCCTGCGTTTTCTTCTTCTTCTTCTTCTTACCTCCGGCAGTGGCCACTCGGATTCATATCCTTGGTAAAAGTCTCCGCTAAAGCCTCCAAAAAGATAAGTCATGGCTACATCGGCTTCTCGATCTCCATAATACGTGGCTGGATCAAAAATGACGGGTACCACGTTACCATCCTTTTTGCAAAATCCCTTGTTTCCACCCCACAAGTCTCCATGAAGAAGGCTGGGTGCCGGTTGGTGCGACAAGAGTTGTCGTGTTTTGGTCCGTAATTCTTCGACTTGCGGTTTGGAGAGACCACAATTTCCGGTCAATTTCAACATGTGTCCCAATCGATGGGTATCCCAAAAGTCGGCCCAATCTGTCATCCATGGTAAATTGGGCTGCGGTGTGGCTCCAATGGTATTGTCAACGTCAAATCCAAACTGTCCATTGTTATTATGAGGCGACAGCGATCGATGCATTTTGGCCAATTGGACGCCCAACTCAAACTGCGAGCCGCCGCCACAAAAGTCGAGATATTCAAACAAGACAAAGGCTTTATTGTCGTATTGGCCAAATGCAATGGGAGTGGGAGTCTGAATGGTGTGCGTGTCGGCCATGGCCTTGACACCGAGATACTCGGCTCGCAGCATGTTGCCCTTGTTGGTGGCCGACTTGACAAAGTATTTGTCACCGGTTTCCTTGTCGATTACAGCCGACGTACTGGCGCCACCGCCACCGGACATTCCACCCCCACTGGCAGGTTCCAACTGAACGGGACGTCCCAATGACTTTGTCGCGGCCTCTTGCATGGTTTCCATGTACGACGACATGACTTGTAATTTATTGGGAGCTCTGATGAGGTTGTGATTAGATGGAAGAAGAAACGCCCCAGAAGGTTCAATGAATAGCAAGAGGAGGAACAAGATTGTGTCCAAGATCACCACAGTGGTAGTGCCGCGAGTACTAGTACTGGTACGGGCTGTCATGGCTTTTCCTCTCTCAAGGCTCAATGGATAGACCAAAACTAATCTTCTTGTTCTGCCTTCTGCCGCTATGTGAAGGGTGAGAAGGAAAGATCCAAAGATCGCGTTGGATCTTCGTCAGTCAGCAGAGCCGTGGGCAAATGAGGCTGACGTGGCGTGGATACCTTGACGCTTCCAAAGAAGCGAAAGGGATGCACCGAAACATCGCACCGCATGGTGAGACTTCTTTGGCACAACAACCTGCGACCATGAAGCCGAAGCTTCAATGACTCTTGAGTCTCGAGCTCTAACACAGCCAATAAAGCATAGTAGCAGTGCCCTTTCTTTGCTGTGCTGCTTATTGATTGCTGTTGTTGTCCAAACACCATTGTTGTCGCTGTGGTTTTCTCAACAATTAACACAATGACCGACCACGAGGAGAAACAAGAGAGGATTCGGGAAGCACTCGCTGGACACCCCGTCAATCCAGGACAAAATTGGGCTGTGTCCAATGACAAGCACAAGATTCTGTTTTGTTGGATGCAAAAGGTCGGTTGCACCTTTTTTCGACAAGTCTTTATCAACTTGCATCGAGAGGGGATTACGGAAGCACATCCAAGTACACTCGCCGGCAAGCACCAAAAGTTTCTCGAGATTCTTCATAGTGCCGAGTGGAACAAGGTTGTCTTTTATCGAGAACCACTGAGCCGATTCTTGTCGGGGTGGAAAGACAAGTGTCGTGGCACACGAAGAAATTATTGCAAACATGTCTTCGGGGGTCCCAATGTCACTTGTGTGGATGCCATCTTTTTACTCAAGGACATGAATCCACAAACTCTCGATGGACACTTTCATCCGCAAGTGCAGCACTGTAATGGCTTGACACGGCCCATATTGGACAACATATACACCATGGTAGAAGAGCTAAAGGATCACAACTCGACACGACACGCTGTACGGAAAATGCTGCAACCATTCGAATTGACCGACGAGCAGTTGGAGCGAGTGCTTTCCACGGGAGAAGATGTCCATGCTCATGCCACAAATGCCAATACAATACTCATGCAGTATTATCAGGATCCACAGTTGGTGGGCATTATTGTCAAGTACTTCATTGAAGACTACAAAGTGTTCCAAATTCAGGCACCCGACTTTGCACAGACAGCTCTGTATGGACTTCGAGAAAGAAATGATCCATATGCCTTGAGTGATGAGGAGATGCAACAATTGGGACTCCCCTTGACGCCACCAGCTTCAACAACAATTCACCAGGTTGATAGTAGTAGTGCACCGGGCACAACAGCCGACCTGATTCTGCTGAATGCAGCTCTGGCCAACGATTCCAGCATGGATGTTCGGGGATTCCATGTTGGTTTTGTCTTTATTGGGTTTTGTTTCCATTTGTATGGCGTTGGTGCTGGGTGGGGTGCATCATTGGGTACGGTATTTGGTGGCCACAACCTTGTTCCCAACAACAAAAATGTAACTGGCTAATCTAGCTAGGGACCAGTCTACTTTCTTTTGGAGTGTGCCCAAGAAAGTGTTGTTTCAACAAACCCCAGTTAGTTTATACAGTCTTCACGTTGGCTGCATGCATCTATCCGCTCCGTTTTGCAGCTGCGTCCTTTTGTTTGTTACGACGAGAATCCAGTTTGTTCTTTTTGTGACGCGCACTGCCTCGACCACGACCACCGCCTCCTCCAGACGGCTCATTGTTGTTGTTGTTGTTGTTGTTACCACCTTGTCCTCCTCTGGCACCCCGTGGTCCACGTCCTCTTCCACCGCGACCACCACGGCCTCCTCGTCCACGCCCACCGCCTCCTCGGGGTGCACCAGCGCCCCCACCTCTCATAAAGCCTTGATTCTTGGCCGTGTCGTCATTGCTGTTATTATTATTGTCATCATCGTCGTCATCAGTGTCATTGCTGGTCGATTGTTGTTGCTGTTGATGAGGTCTGGGAATTCGACCACCTCTGCCCTTGTCGGGACCTCGATAGGTTTTTTCTCCACCACTTGTTTTGGAAGATCGTCGATGAGCACGATTCTCATTTCGATTCTCTTGCCAAAATGCCTGTTCTTCTTCGACTTGTTTCATCATTTTATTGTATGTTCGTACGGCATCATAATCATCGTAGAGTCCATGATCATTGCTCATGAATCCATCCAATTCATCGTATTGATCGTCATAGTCATCGTCATATTCATTTCTACTAGTGCTGCTAGCGACCACTTGTTGAAGTGCTTGTGCCGCAGCTTCTTCTTGTGCCTCCATGACACGAACAGTTTCTTGGGTAATGCGTCGTGCTTCTTGATCGGCGTGTGCCGTTTGCTGTGGCGTGGGTCCTTTCCATCGCCCGGGCAATTGGGGGTCGAGTCGTTGGAGGACGGCGGGCAAACCGGTTGGATCCAGCAAGGCGGATGTGGTGCGTTCGACATCTCCTTGATAATGCGAGAGTGCCGTTTCAATGTATCCGTCTCCCAAATGTGGAAATACGGATTTGACTTGTTGAACCAATCGTTGAATCGTGTCATAGGGTGAGACAACAATGGATGGCTTTTGTGGCGTTGGCTTTTGTTCTTGTTTGGATTGTTGTGTCAGTGGTGACTGTTCTTCTTCCACGGTAAACATGGACCGCAAGTACGTCTGTTGTACTGGTTCCGTAAATCGTGCCATGATGCGGTCCTTCCAGGATTGAGGTGTTTGCTGTTGCTGTTTGTAGAGTAGCAACTCTTCCCAGGTGGATGTTTCGTGTTGGTGCGCTCGTTCTTGCAATTGGTGAATGGATGGAAGAAACTGTTCGTACTCCACCGTTGGTTCTTCCAAGAATGCGGCCATTAGTGACAGCAAGTGTTTTTGAGTGTCGGATACTGATTGCTGCTGTTTCTTGAGTGTTTGGTAGACGGCATCCATGCACTGCATCTTGGAGTCTGACCATCCTGCCACAGCATGTCCCGATGCCGCCGCCAAGAGGACCTGTGCAGTTTCGTGATGACAATAGAGACCGTACATGGCTCGAATGGCTGTTTGGACATCTTCTAGAGATACTGGTGGTTGATCTTCATCATCTCCATCTGTATTGATATCCACATAACGTTGCAATGTCTTGACAAAGGCGTCGTGAAGATCTTCCAGCACATGGCGTAAATGCGACTTGGGAAGTTGCGTCAAGAGCGTCTGGTAAATGGAAAAGATCTTATTGTCAGTACTGAGATCTGCCAACAAGAGTCCTTGACGATAGACTTGTACAGCCGATGGCAGCAGCACATCCGGCGTCTTCTTCCACGATGACAGTGACGTCTCAATCTCTGACTTGACACTGCCCAAAAGACCACTACTACTAGAATCTGATAATAAAGACATGATTCGATTCACACTCTCTTCTTTCTGTCTTCTTGTGAGCACTTGTCTTTTGCAATCAAGGATCCACCAAACGTGTGGCAAGGGCAAGTCGAAACCTGCGGATTCCAAATCGTCGGCAGCACCTCAACACTTCCGATTGGATTCCTGCCTGGCGCTTCTGAACCGTATCGTCACGCTACCGTAGCAAGCAAGAAGGATGATGGAAGCAAAGCTCAAGAGACAGCAAGAAAGGTACTACTAGTAGTATATTATGGAGACCAAACACAAGATAGGAAATGGAACGGCTGTTGTTGTACGGTCGTAGTTCGTCATGTATGTGTGGGCTGTGGCCTCATGAGTGGACGGTGTGGTTCCTTTGCGAGCCAGTGTGCGAGAAGAAAGCGTCGGCGTGGAGCTCTATCGTGGATTACCTGGCCCGAAAAGGGTTTAGTGGTACCAGGTACCTAGCTAGAGGTACCAGGTATCAGGTACGGTACTTCCCAACCTGATGCTCTCTGCCAAAGATCAATCTATGTACGACAGCTGCTGCATCTACCACTTGCAAGGCATGATTAGAGGACCACAACAGCACAAGTCACCAACAAATTATTCATACCAAAGTAGCGGGAAAGGCAGGCCGTGGAAGTGGTCGTCTACAACAGGAAGTGGTGGTGATCACGCAGCAATACTCGCCAAAGAGCGACGACGAGCTCTCGAATGGTTCAGCTCCAAACGAGGAAACTATCATATTCACAGCCTGGTCTACTTCGAAAACAGGTGATGTTGGGAACCCAAATTGAGGAGCAGCGCAAGAAGAACCTGATGCAGCTGAAGTTTGTGATGGGCTTGCTTGCCTACCGTATGCGCCACGCCTGCGTCTATGATATTATTGATGATTCCTTGTCCACAATTATTAGGTCTCGAGGAACCAAAGCCGAGGCTACATCGTGAAGCTGAGTTTGGGATTGAGAACGAGACAGTCTTGGCACCGTCGGACTTGCTTCTGACTTGGCGTCGAATCTTTTGGTGAAGATATCCATCAATGGGTTGGGTTCCTTGAGATCTAGAGCATCAACACTGTAGATAATTAATCTGCCGGTACTAGCTAGTACTCTCGACCCCTCAGGTCCTTGCCAGTTCGTCCCCCTGTAAAACTAGGTTCGCTGGCCCGGTCGCCACTTTAGCTCTTTGGCTTCTTCAACCAGAAGCTGAGACCATTGAAGGATCTCGTTTTACCGAATTTACATTACGCAAGTACGTGTGAGACCCTTTACGTAAATAAAAACATCACTGCAGAACACCACAGGCATTCTCCCCACAGGTGTCCTTACGGGTAACCTCCGTGGAACAGTGGTAACGCAATTTCTTCCGTAAAAGCCATTCTATCTCTGTTCACGTACATGGCTGGATAACCAGTAGTGAGACGGCCGTGCCGGGATTGCATTCGCTGGCGACTGGTGACGTGAAGCAAAAGTCGATCCGTGAGATCGAGACGCATCAAATCAAATTTCGGGGAAACCTGAAACCAGCAAGAAATCATTTGTGGCAACCGAAAATCGCATCGTCTCACAAACTGAAAATCGCATCGTCTCACAAATTTTCTCAAGCCGAGCAATATATAATCATCATCATCATCATTACAAAGACGAATACCAATGGAACAGGCACTTGATCATCAAGAAGAGGCTGGATGGTTCCTTGACGCCGAAGATACGCGGTACTACGTTGATTCGAATGGCGTCGAGTTTTACCCGGACGACTTCTTGGCATGGGACGGGGTAGTCGACGTCCCCCATGTGACGGATGAGGATGGGATTCTCTACTTTGCAACCGAGAAGGTTGAAAGATCTGTTTTGGAACAGCTTTCGAATGTTGATAGATTCAGTGACCCTGCCTTATCGGTGATACTAACCCAAGAGTTTGCATCGAGCGGCGGCTCGACGGAGAAATCAGAGTCTACACCTACATGTAGTACTAGCCCATCTTCGCAGCGCTCTGGATCACAAGAGGCGGCCAAGTCTGAGAAGAAACGCAAACAGCGGTCCAAGAGGGAAGCAAAAGGGAAGGCAAGAACAGATACCACTGGTGGGAGGAGCAAAACAAGGAGCAGGTCTCCACGGCCACAACAGGGCGAGACCAAGCAAAAGAGGGTGCGGTCTCGCAAGCTTGGTACTAAGGAAATGCCTGGTGTTGGCAGTAGTTCCGGTACGAGCAGTATTCCTGTTCGAGTGAAAGTTTCTTCTCGCAAGAACATTGGTTCTCAATTCATGGAGGAGGAAGGCGATGCTTCCTCTTCTTCCTGTGTATCAGAACTGACCTGCTCGATTGTGGGTACCGACTCATCACAGTCTGCTCGCGGCCGTCGGTCGAAATCAAGGCCTGACCATTCCGCAAGAGCGCCACGTCGACGTCCTCAAAGTTCGCCCTCTCAACAAAAGAGAGCGGATAAGGGAGAGCCGGAGCAAGACCAGCGATCAAAACCAATGAGAAGGCGTAGTAATTCCGCCACGACGCTAAGGGAGGATCGAAGAATGGCCCGTCGCCGTCGTCAGGTCGATCGTCTTTCACAGCAAGGCATAGTGCAGCAGCTGCAGCCAGACCAAGCCGCAGTCACCTCCCCTCTGCAAGACCCTGAAGAAATAACTGTTGACGAAGCGGTCGCTGCTCTACCGGCCCCAGATGTAGAAGACCTACCTGTTATAGAGCAGAAAAAAGTACGGAAGCCAGCCATTCGAAGATCCTTCTCCTTCTATGAAGAACTTGCTTCGGCAGCTGTCACTGGTTTTACCAAGACAGCTTCAACAGCTGCTAACGTTGGTCTGGTCACGACTCAGGCTGCAGTTGGATTTCCCATCCTTGTAGCCGGAGCTGCCGTCGGAGCAACGGTCGGAGTAGGCAAGTTTGCAGTGGATGCCACGATGGAGGTAGCCAACACAGCAGTCCACGTGACAGCGTCAACTCTCCAGCGAAGCCGGAGTGCCAATTGCCTACTTGGGCCCCTGCTGAACGGAAGAAACAAAACACCACCACCAAAGAAGAAAAAGATTCTGTCCGCAAAATCGAGTTTCAATGATGATCTAGCCTCTTCTTCCTTGTCCGAGGCAGCAGGTGACGATATTGCGTGTGTTCCTCTGGAGAGAACCACCAGTGCACCTATATTTACCGACATGCTACCTGTAGAGAAACGCTTCACCACAGCTCTTCTTGCCTAAACAGACTGATTCATAGGTATAATGTTACATGCTTTCCAGTTGTCCTGTTTGTTGTCTAGCAACGTACAGTGCTGCTCTCTTCGCCTAATCATTTTGCGCAAGGTCGATGTCCGAGCGCTTGCTTGTGCCCACCTTATACCGACAGCGCGCCCCTGCCCTGACTGCGTTGTTGTTCAGCTACTAGCTCGTAATGTCTATGGTTGCAAAGCTCCTCGTCCTCCTCCAGACCAGTACCGGTACAGCTGTAGGAGGACGAGACTCGGTCAACTCTTTGTGCCAGAAAATTCTTACCGGTACGACTGTACTGGTATCCACTACTCAGTAGCTAGATAGGAAAACGGCCTCCACCCACTTCCGTGGGGAACTCTTGCGATTGGAAGAATCGAATCGAATCGAATCGAATCCCATTATTGTGCGTACCGGTAATGGTAGGGATGGTACATCTAGATATCTGGTACCAGTACCATATGGCGATTCATCATTCGTGCGTCAGTGATGCACAATCCCGGAGCGAAAAGGCCTACCGTACGTACTCCTAGAGTACCTTAAACCTGGTAGGTTTTTGCAGTAAGAACCATGTAGACTACTAGCGACTAGTAGTACCGGTATGTCATACGTATTGTACGCGGATTTGTTTCCAGTCTAGACTAGTCCCAGGATTCTGCACAATTCACTCCCAATTAATCCTGTACCGGTACCGGTATCTGGCGACTGGCTAGTTCTACCGTTAGCTGCCGGTACCTGGTACTACTATTATTAAATAGTACGGTAGGGAAACCACCTTGGTTTTCGCCCTGGTTCCTGACCTTCATTTTACTGTAGCGATTTGTGTACAAACCTTCAAGCGAAGGTTGACTGCCGTTTCTTCAAAAAATGTAGGAGGGGGTACTAAATACTTAACGACATTCTCCAAGACTTAAAGGTTGTATAAAGCAGTTGTAACCTGGGCGTTAACCGTCGGTTGGTTTCCCATAGTAACATACCTTCAACTTAGGAACGCTCGGGTGACCTCGGGATTCGGTCGTTAAGTAACCTCGACCTCGGCTCGCGCCTCGGTCTCGGTTACTTAACGACCTCACCCTCGGTCAACCTCTCTAACCTCGACCTTCCGGTCTCGGTTTCCTAAGTATGAAGGTCTGTTCTCTATAAAAAGCGGCCTCAGGCCGGCCCCCCCCCCCCCACCCACTTCCACGGAGAACTGCTTGCGATTGGAAGAACCCAAATACGAGTATTGTGCGTATAGTCGTACATTCGGTACCGTACTTATAGAGAACAGACCTTCATACTTAGGAAACGGAGACCGGAAGGTCAAGGTTAGGGAGGTTGACCGAGGGTGAGGTCGTTAAGTAACCGAGACCGAGGCGCGAGCCGAGGTCGAGGTTACTTAACGACCGAATCCCGAGGTCACCCGAACCGGTCCTAAGTTGAAGGTATGTTACTATGGGAAACCAACCGACGGTTAACGCCCAGGTTCCACGATTCAGGGAATCCCCTTAAATCCTTTTAATTTATTTAGAGGGCAATGTTCCCCAACCTATAATCCACTGAAAAACGGCGTCGCCCTTGATGGAACATTGTACTGAAATTGCTACAGTAAAATGAAGGTTAGGAACCAGGGCGAAAACCAAGGTGGTTTCTTAAGTAAGATAGCCGTTCGTGCGTCAGTGATGCACAATCCCGGAGCGAACAGGCCTGCAGCACCATGTACCTGGTACTCGTATGTCATACCAGATACCGTACCAGGCATTGAAAAGGCTTCACCCGCTACCGTACGTAGCGTCCGACGGAACGCGGATTTGTTTCCAGTAGAATCCCAGGATTCTGCACAATTTATCATTCGATTCGCACCCAAGATCTCCGGAACCCTTTATTTACAATGGCCCCACAATGTGTCCCCATGGCCACCTGTCACTTGAAAAGTAACGGGGGTTCAGAGGAGGGAAATTATCTACCGTAAAAGACTTTCAAAGATATTGAGAGTCGAGTCACTGCTCTCAATTGAGAGTCTGCGTCGTCCTCTGTTCGTTTGCGAGGAAGTGGCTTCTTCCTACTAGGCCTGTTGTCGAAAAAGCTGCTGCTGCCGGAGTGGTCATTGTCACTTGGGCTCTGTGTGACATGAGAAGCGGCTGGATGGAGCTGGTACGTCTTTTGATGGGGCCTCCTTTGTGCTCCATTGCACGTCGCTTGCCGCGGACAGATTCGAACTCAACACTCATCTCCTGGACTTCCTCCACCTCTTCTTCTTCAAAGTCTGTCTCCTCCTCACCGCCAACAAGGATACACAAAAGCAAGGAGTCCAGTCTTTTGCCCAAGCGCGGCGAGGCATCGTCTCGCAGCAAATCCACAGGAACAACATCCCGTTCGCCCCAAGCGCACCACCCGTGGAAGGAGTATTTCGCCCGTGGTGCCTGGTCGCCCAGCTATCACACCTCCCTTCAGAAGAACGACAAGGCAGCCAAGGTCTCCTAGTGTGCGAGAAGAAAGCGACTGCGTGGAGTCCCACCGTGGAATACGCGGCTTGCATTGGTTTGGTCTATCCTTGGCTACCAACCAGTATTTAGGCTAAGAAGGGCTTGTTGTGCTTCCTGACTGACTTTGTCATGGCGGTGATAAGAAGCAACACTCGGCCAAGAGCGACGGCCGGTTCTCGAAAGGTTCAGCTCCGAACGAGGAAACTCTTCACAGGCTGCTCTGATAATTTTTGTATAAAGCAAATTGATCTGAATGCATGCATCCTCACGGACAGGAAGCAAGTCTGAATGCATGCATCACGGACAGAAAACAAGTTTGCTAGCTAGCAAGCGCTTGCTTCCTGTCTGCCTCGTCGCCCTCTCCTGTCAAAAGAAGAACGACAAAGCCGACAACAGGGAGTGCGACCTGTCGACCATATTGAAGACGCACCCTCAATGAGCTTGGACGTGGCTGGAGAGAACTCGAGAGTTCCGAGTGAAATCGGGAAGATGAGTGACCAATCAATGAGTAAGAAGCATACCAGTACGATGTAGTCAATACGCAGTCGGTTAGCACATCGGTACTTTAGAAGTGAAAGAAACATGCAATAGAGCGGACATTCTGGCTCTGGACCACCGTATCATCCATCCGGTCGTAGCTAGGGTGACGCTTTCTCCTCGATGGCATCAAGGGACTCCATGAATTCACAGTAAAGAAAAGCGATATGGCCAAAATGCTTTGGGCTTGACAGACTGCTTGGTACCCTCACGGTCTTTTTCGGGTTGGGGCTCTTTGGTTCCAGCTCCAATGTAGTGGCATCAAACTTGTGCACCAATGCGTCTCGGTAGAGCACGGCATCGCCCAGGAAGTGGTAGGAATAGGAGCACCCCTCCCCCGAGCATCTGCCATTCTCAACCGCCATGCAACAAGCAAAGCATTTGACCGGGGGGGGTTGCGGTGAAAGGCCTTCAAAATAGGCGTTTCGGCATCCACTACAATATCTCATGTTTGCCCTTGCATTACACCCGGATCCGCACGAAGGACACACATTAGCCTTCGCGAATGCGCCGTTCGGCGCGTACTTATATGCGTCGACCCATTGCAGCCATTTCGACTGGGCCATAGCATACTGAATGTCCAGAATCGATACTTTTTCCCTGCCAAACGCCAAATTGAAGTGTTTGCTGATGGAAGCAACAAGTAAGATTGAACCCCAAATCTGATGCCAATCGACGACCGACAAATCCCAGCGCTGGTTGCGGTTGAGCGCAGCCCCGAAAGTTGGGATTTTTTGGCTGGACTGACAAAGGAGAACGTCGAGTTGCCTCCTAAACAAGACTTTCATTCTTGCTTCAGCGCATTGTCCAAGATCACCCAAATCTAGCTTGGAACCAATTTTGTGACACGAGATCAGTTCAACCATGGGAAGTGCAAGAACATTGATACTGCCTGGGCCATCCTGTTCCAAGTTGGCAAACGCAGCATCTTCTAAACTCTGATAACTCTCACAGAATGAATCGATCAAGTCGGGCACAATCCTCTTCACGGCATCCCCTCCAAGGAGTGCGTGGGTTTTGGCAGCAGCGGATTCAATGCAATCAGAGAGCATGACTTCACTGCCCCCCATACAACGAATCATAGTTTGCGCGTTGTACTTTCCATCCTTCAGACTTTGAAGAGACCTACGAATCTGGCCTTCAATTAGTTTGCGCTGCGCAGTCTCTCCGCCGATAGTTTGGTTCAGCAACGTGAGGAACTCGTCAAAATTGCTGTTTTTCAATGATTCGGTGTGGATCAAAGAGTCGCTGAGGATATCGTACGTCTCCAGTATCCTCTCGTCCTCGGTCAGCTTATTCCATCTGCGTTGTCCAAGCTGGAAGCGACCAACCTTTTCGATGAGATCCTTGTCAAAAAAGGATTTGAATTGATCCAATGACATGGACGAAGCGCTTTGATGGATGAACGCATACATCGCGGAAACTGGAACGAATGAGGGCTTCACTTTTCTGCTTTTTGCTCGCATGCGCTTTGTTGACAGACACGAGGCAGGAACTGGAGATAGTGACAGGGACGCAAGACTTTCAACAACTGTGCCTTGTCGTGTCGTTCTTTTGCCTGTCCCATAGACCTCCGAAGATGATCCTCGTGTGGCAGTGCCGTTTCCTGTACCATTGTTTGCTTGAAGATAATCTTCATACCTTAGTTCTTCGATAGACTTGTGCTCGTACACAGGCATGGCAGATATCGTTTGAAAAAGGATGGTACCGGTAGAGGTTTCAACCTGACGAGGTGTAGGTTGGTATGGAGTGCTTTTCGTCCCACCCGTGGTTGCAACAGAAGCACTCCAACGCCAGTCTTTGCTTCCGAAGTGCCCATCAGCAGCGTTGGTGGACCGGAAACCTCCTGAGGGAGCTCAGACGAAAGATGAGGGATTCACCCAAGAGTTGAGTACCACAACAATAAATACACTGTTCTTCGCGCAAAAGGAACATGCGTACCTGGAGATCCAAAGGAAAGGGCAGCGGACGTATTTGACACGGATGGAGCAGGGGTTGGAAGCATGAGCCCAGGCGCTTTGCCTGCAGTCGATCCAAAACCAAACGAAGGTGTAGGTGCAGGGGCATTACTTGTAGTGGTAGTTGACGTCCCAAAAGAAAAAGGACCTGACGAGCCAGAGCCAAAGGGTGCGGGCACAGAGGCATTACTTGTAGTCCCAGTTGCCGAGGCCCCAAAAGAAAATGGACCTGATGATCCAGAGCCAAATGGGGTGGGTACAGCGGCATTTCTTGCAGTCGTAGTTGACGTCCCAAAAGAAAAAGGACCTGATGAGCTAGAGCCAAATGGTGCGGGCGCAGAGGCATTACTTGTAGTCCCAGTTGCCGAGGCCCCAAAAGAAAATGGACCTGATGATCCAGAGCCAAATGGGGTGGGTACAGGGGCATTACTTGAAGTCCCAGTTGCTCCAGATCTCCCAAAAGAAAAAGGACCTGACGATCCAGAGCCAAATGGTGTCTGTGCAGGGGCATCACTTGTAGTCGCAGTTGCCATCGCACCAGACGTCCCAAAAGTTGAGGCTGGGAACGAAGACTGAGGAGCTGCGAAAGAAGACGATTCAGTCTTGTCACCGTCTGACTTCTGACTTGGGGTACCAGCTTTAGGTGGAGACATGAATGGGTTGGATTCCTCCTCTGGATCAACAACAAAGTTCACCGATCCGAAGGTCCTTGCAAGTTCTTCCCTGGCTTCGAGAACAAGTTCTGCCTGTTCTTTGTCACTTGGATCGTCCACTTTGTTGAACAAGACAATAATCGGAACTTCCTCGCGTCTCTTGCTGTTGTTTTCAACGAGGTTCAACAGAAAACCTGGTCTCTGTATGAGCCCTGCTGCCATCCATGACAGCACAGGCAATCAAAGTATCCCATTCTCATTGACAATGTCCTTGTACTTGCTGCACGCTCCGGCTTCGTTGATACCAGGAATGTCAACTACAACCAGTTGAGTGCCCTTTCGCATCTCCACCAAGTTCTCGGTGAGTTCAATGTCAAACCACTTCTCCTGCACGTCGACACTCTCTCGAAGTTCCCTATTGTCTGTTGTGATCTCTTCCAAAGTCGACTTGGCAGAGCGGGGTTCATCGCTGTGCGGGAACCAAGGGGTGCCACCGTCTTCTGCCCCACCAGCGTTGGCGCCGCTGCCAACGTTGTCGTCCTTCCTGCCGTCAATGGGTTCCTTGCTGTCGTCTTTCGTGCAGCTCTTGGGTTTTTCGTCTCCGATCATTTCTTCTTCTTTTTGGGCAATCAGGTGCCTGCGCACCATATCCTTCGGTTTGGGGTGACACAGCGTTGGCGCCGTTGCCAACATTGGGTTCCTGGCTGTCTTCTTTCTTGCAGCCCGCGGGTTCTTCCTTCTTTTCGTTGACAGGTTCCTTGCTACCATCATCATCCGCTTTGGTCATTTCTTCTTTCTTGCCATCAGCAGGTGCCCCGGTACCAGGAGCGCAGATCCTGAAGTAGTTCACACCTGCAGTTGTCCGTTTCATGCTAACTTCGCCATACTTTTGCTTGAAAAGGGCATTCAATACTGTGGTCTTGCCCGCTGAAACGTTGCCCAGCAATGCAATCTTGATCTCGGAAGTGCCAAGCAACATGGTTCTGGATTTCGAAAGGCTAGATACGTTTTCCTTTGCTTGCTAGTAGAGGTCAGGGCAAAAGTTTTGTGGCAGGATCCAAAGCCACTTCAAAACTCCACTTCCAGAGAGAGACTCACTAGCTACTAGCTAGCTAGCTAGTCTTGGCTACTGGTAGTGCAACGGCCAAGGACTTCAAGAATTTTGCCCCCCGCGGCTAGTAGGCCCTCCTTCCTGTCTGAAACTGAGCATGTTCTACCAATTCCCATCCAGCTGACCGGCTTTCACGCAACCATCATGACCACTTTCGGTGCTCTCTGCGATCACCTGAAAGCTCCCGTCCGGTGTTTGGGGATTTCTTGTGCTGGCTGGTGGAAGCGTTTCCCCGTTTCCACTCTCCAGGGTCACCGGGTCATCGTGTTCGCTTCCTTCACACACGCAACCCACTTTGCATTGCGCTGCCCGCAACCTCCACTAACTAGCTAGTACTACATGTACTTGCTCAGTACCGGTGCCGGTACACTGTACCGATACCGATACGGTCGAAAGGGCTTCGAGCGAGACATTCGGAAAACCCTCCCAATTCGCTCAGGGAGGAATGAAGCAAACATTAAATGCCTGAAATCACAGAAATCTTCATCTCCCTTTCCGAAACAGCTATGTCTGCCGACGATGGTACCAACAAAGACCTTTTTGTTGTTGTTCTATCGTAGCATGAACATGGACGTCTAACGGGGACGTAAGAGGCACGGGCACAGCAGCAATTGCGATAAGTGATTAGCTCTTGCAAACAGTTGAGGTTCCGCAGGGATCATGTGCTGTTCTTGGGCCATGGTTGTTGGGTCATAGTTGTCAGCTCAGAAGCGAATAAGACTTGCCGTTGTACTGCAGTAGTACTCGTAGTCCACCGGCACCGGTATGTTGGGTGTGTAGCTTCTGCAAACACCACAGATCGATTCAGGAGCTTTGTTCAGGTCACTAGCTAGCTGACTGACTGGCGGAGAGCTCTCGACTTGGATCTTGACCATCATTATTTGCACTCGAATGAGAACGCCAACACAAACAGAGATCAAGTACTACTATGCATAGTATCAGCGGACTGCAGTATCGACTTCAATATCCGGACGAATAGCGGCGACTTCACTGATACTCCTACTTCTGCTCCTTGTACCGGTCTGCACCAAAGTACTCGATTTCCCGTTGTTTGTCTTCGAAGATTAAAAAGCGAATGCAAGATCTGATCTTCACACTGACGTCACCCCA